ACATCAATAGAGGCTTGAAATTGGGCATTTCTGCGGCTGCGGTGCATTATTAGGACTTTTTGTGATTAAAAATTGGGCATGGCTGTAGGTCCTAACTCTACAGACGGATTCCTTAAGGTGAAAATGTATCTAAATATACTGAAACCAACCTCTTAGCCTGGTTTTCCTTCATTTTCTTCCTTCATCTCACTGTGTAACGGCCCATCTTGAAGGCTCTTTGACACCTTCACTAGAATGATGGAGGACATGCTTCAACAGGCTCTTGGGACGAATTGCCATTAGACAGTGACGCATTACCAAAGTAAGAGGATACGAGGTCAGTCGGGTGAGATTTAAAGAGACAAATCACAATTTGAAGCCCAAAAAGGTCACATGTCAATGGCATTTCTTGAAACCAAACTTTGGGTGTTTATTCAACTGCACTACTGGCCTATTTTAACTCAGCTGTTCTGACATGTTAGGGACATGTATAACATCTTTGGCGTGCGGTTCACAGCCATCCCAATGGTTATGATAGATTAAGAATGCAAACAAACCCAAATAAACAGCCAAAGGGTTGCTGGATCAAGACCCACAAGTCTAAGCCACAGCACTCACAACAAGGCCTTCAAGCTCAGTCAATTTATCATCAACGCGGAGATGAACAGCACTTGATTGGATGCATCAAACTACATGAGTATTACATTTGCATAACGATAAATGATACGGCACGAATAATAGGATTAGCGAGTTGCTAGCTGTGATTTCACCATCTTTTTTAATGTCATGATGAAATTCTCAGAGGTTAGCTTAAGGAGGTAAAGCATGTGCATTAGAATAAGATGTCATTTTTTTTCTATTAAAGTGGATATTCTACAGTAAAATGCTATAGTGAGATAGCGTGGGGCGACCATGGGAAAATCTTGACCACTTATAATTGCTAAAATCTCACTAAGAAACTGTATGACATCTCATTAGAGCTGTTTTAAAACAAGCCATAAGTGTTGTTTCCCGGGGGGAATAATTTCACACCAATCTGACAGGATCTTTGCAAAAAATGCTTATGGAAGTCACTACAGAGGATATAACATATTTTGATGCAAAACAGCCCACAGTACTTCAGTTTGCGAGCATATGTGACTAAACACTGGCCGTTGAAGACAGATAAAAAAATAAAAAAAAAAACACAAAAAAGAACAAGAAACTTGAATTTATCACATATTTCTCCAAGAAAGAATAAATTGAGACTTCAAGACTCACTGAGATTGTTAAACTACGTTAGAAATTAAGGTAACACTTTACAATAAGTTTCAATTCTTAAGCCTCAAGTCATGCACAATCTTTAAACAGTATTTACTAATCTAGGTTAGGGCTGCACGATAAATCGAAGAAACTTCTTAATCACAGTAGTCTTTTTTCCACTGATTAACAAAAACACCACTCTAAACAGCTCCAAGAAAAGGTCATTGAAAAGCACAAGACACGGGATGGATGGAATATTTCCAACTCATTGAATATATCTGGGAGTACTACTAAATCAATAATTAAGAAATAGAAAATGTATGGCATAGTTGTAAATCTACTTAGAGCAAGCTAGCCCCAAAAACTGAATGACTATGCGAGGAGGAGACTGGTTAGGGAGGCCACCAAGAGACCAATGGTGGTTCAGGTTCTAGCACCTTTGCTTTTCTCTCTCTACATGCTTCCTTTAGGTTTGATTCTGAGAAATCATGGCGTATCTTTCCACTTTTATGTGGATGATACACAGATCTATCTGCCTATTAAAAGAAACGACCCTTCAGCTATACAATCTTTATTTGCATGTCTTGATGAGGTAAAGCTCTGGTTGGCTAGTAACTTTTTTACCTTAAATGATTCAAAGACTGAGGTTATTGTCTTTGGCCCATCTGACAATTTCGAGTTTAACAACTCTACCCTGGAAAGCCTGTCAGTCTTTGAATCAAAGTGTGTTCGGGAACCTTGGTGTTCTTTTTGACAGTCGGCTCACTTTAGATAAACATGTTTCCTCTGTTGTTGCCTCCAGCTTTTTTTTAATTTTTTTTTTTAGCTCTGCTTACTTTCTAAAAGAAAACATTTTCTTCCTAACAAAATCTCTTGAGTTAGCTTTTCACATGTATATACCCTCTCGATTGGACTACTGTAATTCCTTGTACTGTGGCATCTCGAAGTCCCAGGTTGCTCACTTACAATTGGTCCAAAATGCTGCAGCCAAATTTCTTAAAGGGATAGTTCACCCTCATGTCGTTTCAAACCCGTAAGACCTTTGTTCATCTTCGGAACACAAATTAAGATATTTTCGATGGAATCTGAGAGCTGTCTGACCCTGCATAGACAGCAATACAACTGAAATGTTCCCAAGTTCAGAGACGAAGCAAGGAGATCGGTAAAATAATCCATGTGACACCAGGGGTTGAACCATAATTTTACGAAGCTACGAGAATGCTTTTTGTGCGCAAAAGAAATGCATTAAAGTATTCTCGTTAGGGCTGTGTAAAAAAAATATAGATATCTTGATATTAATCGATTCTCATTTTTACGGAACGATATCGATTCTTAAATCCCAAGAATCGATTAGTCTAGCCTGTTTTCAGTTAATGGACGGAACACTGAAGGGCACTTCCCATCCAATATATCGCAATAAGCATTGTGCTTTGGTACTTTTAATAT